CAAGGTCTAATGTTACAAATCAAAAAGAGAGCCTTAAGCTCTATGATTCATAGATAGGAGAAAATTTCATTTATTAATCATGAGGGTTATGACTAAGTCTTAAAGACATGAAATAAGTCAATTTTATCCAGCCTGACAGTTAAACCACTTCTATTTCTAACACTTTAAGTACTCATGTCTAGAAAAATAATAGTACTAAAGACAAACATCATGTGAGGCCTCTTTTACTGTAAAGAACCCATGCCAAAAGAGTTTGAAAAGATTTCTGTGTCATGTAGGAGAGTGAAAAATGCTATTTACACATCTCTGGTTTATGAGCATCATGGATCTAAACTTTGGCTCAGAATCTAGGTCAGTGCAAAAAGAAATGACTAAAGAATATCAAAAATACAGGTGCTGCTACAATTCAATGACATATTTCCCTTGTGCAGGGTGTGTCTTTGTTCTCACAGCTGGAAGTTGTGTACTTCAAATTTTCAACAATGAAAAGACACCACATTAAAGAATTTTAGACATTCCTATAACCCAAACTGTAGCAATAACCATGCTATTCTCAATTGCTTTCAGAAGGATGGTACGTTCTTTAATCTGCCGCTTGTCTCTCTCAACACACTTGGCAAAGTACATTAACAATGGAAATAAAAACAATCATTTGAAGATAAAGTTCAAGAAAGAAAAGCCACATAAAATATAGAACAACCAACTTCTCTTAAGAATGTTTTCATATTTTGAAAAGAAGAATTGGAAATACAGTCATGAATTCTACTAATGATCCATCTTTTTGTTTTAATTCCTCAATATTAGTTTGGCCTAAAGGAAGAGAATAAAACACACACACACACACACACACACACACACACACACAAAATCTGATCTAAATAAGAGCAATGTATTTGAAAGCAAGCCGCTGATTTTTAATCTACTCACTTTTCTAAGTGTAAAAATGTGTTTGTTTGTTTGTTTGTTTTTTTTTACCTCCAGTGCATTATCGGTTCGATGGTCATAATTTATACAAAGTGCACAGATGGTCTTAGAAATAGCTAAGTTTCAGTTTTCCAACATCCTGGCATACAGAACACTCCCATTGATCTGCATTTTGGCAACATTTAAATGATTTTTAAACTTATTTCTACATTAACATCTTGGCATCATTTCATAAGCATAGGTTATTACAACTTTAAATTGTCTTGATTCCTGATTAGAAGTGGTTCTTGCATTGTTTCTAAAATATGGATGGGATTGTGGTACTGGAGCTTTTAAATTAGAAGACAGCATCCCTATGGACAGTGAAAAAAAATAGAAGACTTTCTAATAAAGACTTTTGCAGAAATAATAAAATATTTTCTAATCCAATATATTATGGAGCAATAATTTCCAAGATTTCGTTTTAAAAACACAAATTTACTACAGTGGATTTAAGCTATGAATGCTATAAAATTAACACATACACACATGCACACACACACATAAACATAACCTTCAGTATTAGCTAACATCTTTCAAAATATTCAAGAGCATAATTGCTTTTATTTTTTCCTACCATATAAGGACATAACTTACAAAGGGTCCTGTTGAATCTATGCCCAGTTTCAATCGTTTTAACCCCTTTCACTCCCGCAAAGGGCTCTCTTTGGAGTCATCTTTGATTGACACCAAGTTGTTAAATCTAGTGGTCAACCCTCGGTCCTTATATTACTTGATCTACCAGCTGCAACGGATTCCACCCCAGTTCCCTCCTTAAAACACTGCTTACTAGCCCACCGGGTTTTCTTCCTTTTTCACTGAGAGCATCTTTGGCTTGCTGCGGCTCTTTGTCTTTCTCCTTGAGAACTAAGCCTCACATCACTCCCTTTCTATCTAGATATCACTTAGAGATGTCAGTTTCCAATAGGAGAATAACATATATATGGGTAAGTCTCATACGCATCAGGATAGGCTACTTAATGCTGTGTCAAGAAATTCTCAATGATGTAGGACAGCAACAATCCAGCCTACATCCATCTATCTTACATCTACTCAAATGCCCTATATGCCAGTCATGAACACACAGATGTGAAGAGTTTAAAGTTCTATGGCACATAACTCCAGGGCTTGGTTAGGCCCTAAAGTGTGTTCCATAGAGTACTTTCCCCCCCTTAACATGCGGCTGTCCTGGTTGCCTAGTGGAAAAGAAAAAAAATTATACCTGAAGTTCACTCAAGTACTGGTATTTAATAACTTTAGGTTCCACTCAAAACTCACGAAGCTGAAATAGTCAAACAGATCTGCCTGAGAAGCTAGGAGCAGTCAGAACAGTCTTTTATCTAAGAGGGAGGGAAGGTCTGCTTAGTAATGAGTACTTGTATGCTTACCACAACTTAATTTATTCTCCAGCCTCAACCTCAAGTCTAAATTTCTGACTCATATATCCAGCTGCCTATTTAATGTATGCTTAGATATCCTACAAGCATTTGAAAATTACCATGTCTAAAGCCAAGCTCCTGATATATCCCATCCCAAACTGTCTTCTAGGTTCAGTTCACCATAGTTAATGTCACCTGTACACTTTCAATCTCTCAGGCCAATCTACAAAGGTAAGCCTTGATTCTTCTTAAAACCCACATCTAATCTGTTGGAAATGTTGCTGGGTGTTGCTTTAAAATATATCCAGAGATGTAGGGTCTAACTATATCTCACAACCTCTGCTCCTAACAGACTGACTCCATCGCCACTTATCTCATGCCTGGGTTACTGCAAAACCTCACAATTCTTCTACCTGCTTCTTAGAAGGCCAATATGCATAACTTGTATCTCATGGTAATGGAGACTTCTTTTGACAAATTTCTGATTCTTTCATCTTTGCTCAGGGGAAAAATAAAAGTATTTGCAATGTCTATAAGGCTCCACATAGTCAAAACACTTGCTATTCCCAGACACTATTGTCTATGACGTTGTCCTTTGTTCACTCCAGTCAACTCATGACTCTAGGCTCCTTAGTGCAAAGGCCAGCGGCCTACCATCTTAGTGTCTAGTATGAACTGCTTTTTATGCACCAAACGCACTTTTCCCAGATACTTATATATTTTCATCCTTTAGAGTCTAACTATATCTCACAACCTCTGCTCCTAACAGACTGACTCCATCGCCACTTATCTCATGCCTGGGTTACTGCAAAACCTCACAATTCTTCTACCTGCTTCTTAGAAGGCCAATATGCATAACTTGTATCTCATGGTAATGGAGACTTCTTTTGACAAATTTCTGATTCTTTCATCTTTGCTCAGGGGAAAAAATAAAAGTATTTGCAATGTCTATAAGGCTCCACATAGTCAAAACACTTGCTATTCCCAGACACTATTGTCTATGACGTTGTCCTTTGTTCACTCCAGTCAACTCATGACTCTAGGCTCCTTAGTGCAAAGGCCAGCGGCCTACCATCTTAGTGTCTAGTATGAACTGCTTTTTATGCACCAAACGCACTTTTCCCAGATACTTATATATTTTCATCCTTTTATCCCCCATGGTTTTATCTGAGGCATTCTGCAATCGTGGCTACTTTATTTTTATAGGATGTATTAGAGCTTGCAGACTACAAAATACAGTTATTTAGTCAGTTTGGTCTGTACATTCACAGTACTCACAAAAATTTACATAACACTGCATTCTCAGTGTAGAGAATTTAATCATTAATTTATATTAAACAAACGTTGTTCTTAGATTCTGTTCCCCTGCGTCCTTGATTGTATTTCTTCAAGTCAAAGTCGACACACATAGTTTTCACTCTGCATGTGACTTTTCAGAACCTCTTTAAAGTAGATAAAGCTAAATTATCTTTTCCCAATTCATAGATTTGTAAAAAACTTTTAAGATACTTTAGATCAGTGCTGGAAAACACTCGTTTTCCTTCCCTAAAACTGGGTCTACCACATTCTTTTTTACTTCTCCCTCTACTGAATAATCCTGGGACTTGGCTAACTGGCTGTTCAAAAGTAGTGAAAGTATTTCTTAGATGTATATGGTATGTGTTATAATTTGTTTCATATCATTAGTAGTAATCTTTTCCTCACATATACCCTCTCCTAGGAAGCTCTATATCTAGGCCAAAGAATTCCTAATGGAAGGTATCAGAGTCTATGGAGCAAAAGACTGGAAAAAGGAAATATTGTGTAACCACAGAACCAACAAGACCTTTATTCGTTGAGGTGTTTAGTGAACACTTTACAAGACAAAACCAAGTAAAGAGACAGATGGATTCGCTCCTGTCAAAAAGCCAATAAATTGAATAAGTCTTTATGAGAACAGAAATTTGGAATCTAATCTCTAATCATATATTTTAATTTGTAATGAGGCAAGGTCATCACTAACTTAATTACAAATAAACTTTTATTTTTCAAAATCAGTATTGAACTGCATAGGATGGAAAAACAGTTCAAAAAGGAGAATGTGGGCCAAGCATGATGGTGCACACCTTTAATCCTAGCACTAGGGAGGCAAAGCCAGGCAAATTTTTCTGAGATCATGGCTAGTCTGATCTATATAGTGAGTTCCAGGTAATCTGGAACTATAGGGAGACCCTTTCTAAAAATACACACACACACACACACACACACACACACGGAAAAACAGCCACAACAAATCCTGAAGTAATCTAGGAAATATTCTGCAAATATCTTCTTTAAATGATTTTTTAAATAATAATTTCAACACAAGGAACACATGGAAATGTTCTAAGCCCTGAGTAATAGTAATAATTAAGTCTACAAAAAAGTGTGACCTCTAAGATATTAAAATAGAAAATACGTTTTTTGCTTTTTACTGATCTCTAAACACTTTCCATTTTTTTCTCACTTATTTTCAGCTCTACATAGGGGAAAATGAAATATATTTCTTTTTAAAGGAACTGCAAACAAGAACTAATGCAAAGCTTTGTCTCCAAGAACCAATTTCAATTTCCTCTTTATCTTGGGTGAAGGTATGTAGTTACCCTCCAGATGTTCCCTGCTGCTGGAATGAACACTCACAGTGATTCTTTCATCCTTATCATCCAGTGGTGAGCCATCTTTCTTCCAGGAGATGGTGGGCTCTGGATGGCCCCTAGGAGGCTGACATTCCATGACCGCAGGCTCTCCTACTGCCACCATAACATCTGAGGGGTTTTGTCTGAAGTCATCCCGTAGTACTGTGGAAAAAAGATTAAATCAGCATATTCGATGATGAAATATACAGTCCTTATCACTGAACTTCAGTAAAAATGACATTTATTAAAATACACATCCTCTAATAGCTCTCTCAATGCAACTTGAAGAATCTATATCTATTATAAGCATCTGGTCTTTAATAAAGGTACTTGTCCCTTAAGCAGACTGTGGAGGGATTATATTATATTCTTCACAGGTCAGTAGGCAGGTGCACTGTGCTGCTTCGTGCCTTCACAGCACTGCATTTGAACTTGTATGTCTCTCCTGCCCACTGTCTACATTTTTCTCATCCATACTGAATCCACCTTTACTTATAGGAAGCTTCAGGATGATGCTTTCTATCTATGATGACCTGAATTGCATAAACATATGGGCAAAAATGTTTAATGAGAAAAGATATTTCTGAGCACACATTTGATTGCTTCAGATATTTAATGTATAAAACTGTATTATCGATATAATTTAAATAGGTCATTGTGAACACTTTACACATATTTGTGAAGTGCTGTATTCAAAATCATTCATTGTCACCAAATGAGGGGGAATTAGAATGTATCAATGAAGATGCTACAGTTGGCAACAGTATCATGACTGGTGTCCCAAGTTATTTTTGTTATGGACCATCTTTTCAAATCTTTAAACCTGTTAAGAAGGAAAGCCACTGTTAATCTCCTTTTTATTGTGAGCTCCTAATTTAAAAGGAATAAACAACCCATTCTTGTGGTCTAAGTTGGATAGGAGTATACTATTAACATACTATTAATAAAAGCAGGATTATTCACTTTGTAACTGGAGAAAAAATGTTGAAAATTAACTAAATACGTGTTCTAAAAATAGTACATTCAGTAAAATTGTCCTCAATATCTGGATAACATCAACAGATTATTAATAACTTGTCATCATTAAGACTTAAATCCAAACTCTGAACTTTGCTAGATATATCATCTCAAACACATTACTTATAACCTGCTTTCCTATTTACAAAATGGGGAGGGGGATGCACAGTTCAACATGAAGGCCAATAGTTAACTTCACCATGCTCCATTTTCTTTTATTCTTTGTGTAATAAATGTGAACCATCTTTGAAAAAGTAGCTTAAGAGAACACTTAAAATGTTTGTCACACATTTGGAGTGAACAGTATAAATCTACTGAAGTGAATTTTAAAGCTATCGTTATGTACTATAATGGATATATTTTCACCCCCAGAGCTTTTTAAAATGCTTTCATTGATGAAGTGTTACAATACTGAAACCTTATACTCAAAACATTGTTCAACAAATTTCAACTTTAAATTTTGCTTTCATGATCTCAAACTTGGACTCCAAAAAGTTTATGCATGTTCTTTCATTTCTTTTCTCCCTCTTCCTTTGTAGTTTGTTCATGTACCCAAGTAGGCCACAATATCCACCCCAAAGTCTGTTTTTTATCCTGTGCACTGAGACAAAGATCAGCACATAGGAAATACTGCTTCAAAGAAGAGTCTCGCTTCCTTACCTTTGGAAAGAATAACAAAATGAAATGAAAAGGAACCACGACTACCCAAACTGCTACCGCTGGAACTTTAACAGTGTACACTGTTAATACAACACAGGCTCCAGACTTCCACTGTTTAGAAGTGTATATTTTTATTAGGTGTTAAGAATGTACCACAAACAAAATGTAAGCTTTATAGAAAAAGCAAATGAATTGACCTTAACAAGCAGCAAATTCTCAGGCTGTATCACATCACTAATCTGTGATAACACCTCTAGATAGTTTGACATCCCCAAACACTCAAAAGTGAAATACTTTTCAAGTGAAAGTAAATAAGTTTTACAATTGTTCTAAGTGACAGACTTAAAACATGCTCGGTACTACATCTTATTTATAAATTAAGATCACATCTTAAATAAGCCAACAAATAATAAAACTAGTGAAAGTATCAAGGGTGTAAGATAAGTCAAGCTATTTTTTCTATTTATTATATTATTTGTTTTTAGAATGCCTAATGGAGCTAAAAATGTAATCCATTAAAGATTATTGCTTAGATAATGCTCGTGTAATTATTTTTGCAGCTGTAAGTATAAAAAATCCAGTATTGCCTATGGCTACAATCAATGTTTTATAAAAGTATGATTTTAACACTTTTTTATATATGAAACTAATATTTCTTGCTTGTCTTGAAATTTTCTTTTTGAGAAAATTATGTGCCAGCTTATTAAAAGACATTGTTTTAAATTAAGGCGTCTGAATTTAAAATATTGCTTATTAAAAAAATCAAATCCTAATGATTGGCAACATCTTGGCAGAAAAAAACTTAATTCATAAATATTTCAAATTACAGATCATTTAAAAATTTTAGGTACTGGAGTGATGGCTTAGCAGTTAAGAGCACTGACTGCTCTTATGACAATCGGGTTCGATTCTCAGGACCCACATGGCGGCTAACAACTGTAACTCCAGTTCTAGGGTAATCTGACTCCTTCTTCTGACCTCTGCAGGCATTACATGACATGGGTGCACTTATACACATGCAGTCATAACACTGATACACATAAAATAAAAATAAAATATTAAAAATTATTTTTTTCCCATTTGTTAAAGATACATATTTTATAATGGTTCTTAATATTGATAAATTTAAAAATTAGAGCTGAATTTTCAGAAGGAAAGTTTAATATTAGTTTGGATAGAACAAAGATTTATACTTTAAGTAGGCATCACCTAAAAACATACTGAATAGACCGTGCTAATATTAGAACTGTACCAAATTTCTTTTGTATCTACACAGTTTTCTGTGTATATAGGTTATAGGTTGATGCATATTTGGCTCAAAAGCTTTTCATGCCTTTAATTTCATTTAATAATAGAAAGCATAATCTTCACTGAAATTCCTGTCTGTTATAATCTTCACTGAAATTCCTGGAAGTTTTTTTTAAATGGTTAACTCCATTTTTTTTTTAAGCTGACGATAATTTGTCTTTCTAAACCACTTTGTACTAATTTATTTTTTATTAAAATTTTTGTTAAATTTCTATTTTTTATATTGTTGGAGGGGTGGGACTCATGGGTCATGACAGAAATATAGAGGCCAAAGGACAACTTGTGGGAGTTGGTTCTCTCCTTTCATTTTATGGGTCCCAGGAATTGAACTAAGCTTGGAGGCAGGCTCCTTTACCCATTGAGACATCTCACCTGCTTAGCATTGTACCTATTTTAAAATAATTCTCAAAGTAAGCAAACATTCAATAATGTTTGGGAGGCAGAGGAAGGCAGATCTTTGTGAGTTCGAGGCCAGCCTGGTCTACATAGTGAGTTCCAGGAGAGCTGGGGCTACAAGGAGACCCTGTCTCAAAAAAAAAAAAAAAAAAAAAAAAAAACAAAAAATAAACAAAAAAAGACACACACACACACACACACACACACACACACACACACAGACAGGGACACAAAGTAGTCCACATGTAATCAAAGCTTTAATATTTGTCAAACATTCTGTATGACCACTACAAAAAGTTTTAGAACAGAAAGATATACAAAATTTTAGGATTGGCAGGGGACCAGGGCTTGTATAATCCTTCCTGTCACAAGAGGCAAATGAAACCCAGAAAATTTGCCACTGGCCTATGTGTTGTCAGGAAAAACCAAAAACAGCAGCAACCCTGATTTCTAGTATTGTACCATTGTTTTGGTTTTCTTTTTTTCTTTTTTCTTTTACGCTATCCCATCCCTGTCTTGTAAAATACAATTCTCTAATTCTTTGTATTCTTGTAAGTTCACACAATTTCTTGAAGTGGCTGTGCATATCTGCACCACAGTCTCTTAACTGTCCAATCCTGGTGCCTTAAAAGTTTCTTGGATTTACTTCTTTCCCTAATCATATGTTATGACTTATGATGCCTCCAACTTTAAAAACAAATCATAAACACTCAGTGCAGTCTGGACCTAATAGTGTGTGCTCCACAGTTCTTGTTTTAGAAATTAACAAACTAAGGGCATGTGAGGTGGCTCAGTGGGTAAAGGTGCTTGCTGCCAAGCCTGATGACATGAGACCTGAGTACAATTTCCAGAGTCCACATAGTGGAAAAAGAGAAACAATTTTCTGATCTTCACACAGACCAGACACACGCATGCATATACATGTGCACATGACATGTGCACACACAATAAATAAATAAAGTCTAAAAAAGGATGTCTCAAAAAGACCAAAAAAAAAAAAAAGGAAATGAACAAATTAAAACTTCTCAAGAGAAAGGATCATGTCACCAAAATAATGAAAATCATAATATAATGATAACATTAGCAATGGTGGGCACTTAATAAATTCTGTTGTCAAATATCAACTCACTTAATCTTCATAATGAGATTGCGATACATGAGTTTACTAGTTTTATGAGGTCAAGATAGAACTCAGATCTTCAGCCACAAATGGTGTTTCTTTACCAAGATGCTCATCTATTGGGTCTTATTTTAAAACCATTTGCAATTGCAAATATGTAAGTATCACGATATACTTACTATTTCAGCCCCCTTCCAATGGAACAGAAGTTCACTGAGAAATCCCCTAGCTGACAGTCATGTAAGTGTCTTCCTAACACTCTGCATTTGATTTTCTCAGATTCTTCCACGTTTGGAAGGGACCAGTTCACATTTTGAGCATCATACTGAGAGTCAGAATATATTATCCAGAATACATATGATGTGTTACTTCACATCACTGGTTCTGCTTTGATTTCAACCACAACGCAACCGAACAGGTGTACAATACTAAGCATTTTAATTATCCAAAGGCATTTTAATTAGAAGTGGGTATTTTGGGGAAAACAAAAGAAGATAATATGCAATCTTGGCATCTATTTTCTTTCTCCCACTCAAATGGCTATCTTGTCAATGAACATTGAAGCAAATCGTGAACTCTTTTTTTCAAGAAAAAAGGAAACAAACAAAATATTTAAAATGTAGAGGGTACAGAATAAACGAAATTTGAAATTATATACTTA